CTGCACGTCAGCCTTCTCGATCATCTCTATGATGGCCTCGTTGCTAGTCCTGAACTGTTTCAGCCATATGTTCATGTTCATACTTCGCTTCATGTCCAGTAAATTTACCACGTTAGAAACCTTCTTCTCAGCACTTGCAGTTATTTGCTGGGCAGCTTTCCTGCTGAACATTTCCTCGCAAGCGCCGTAATTTATTTGGGATGGTTCGGTAACTTTCAAAACACTAGACCAGATCACTTCTTCTTTAGTTTTCAGTTTTCATTTTCGACTTTGGAATTGGAACAGAGATGCAGGCAGCAACGTCGAAAGACTTTTTTTAGGAGAGCCTCATAACTTAGGGCCTGTTGGGCATTAGATTTTTTTTAAGAAAGAGATGACCGTTAGGTAATGGTGGTGGTGGCGAAAATGGAGGTCCACCTGGAAGTGATGGAAAATCGGGAAGGAGAGAATTGGGCAATAAAAATGGCAAATGTGGTGGAGCAGGGACATCTGAGTGAATGACAGGAAAAGTATCCAGTTTAGGAATTACGTTGAATGAAACATTTGAAAGCGAAGAATTAAGAGATGGTAAAGGAGGGGGAGAAGGTTATGGTGGGGGTGGGGCAGAGGAGAGACTGATTGATCTGAACTCAATGATGCTTCAGTCACATTTTTCGATTTTTGTATGTTAAGAACATCTGATATCGTGGACGACACCTTACTCTTTGCATCGAAAAATGAAAGTGAGCTTGCATTTGTCAATTCATCTTTTACAACTTGATCAGATTTTAAATTTTTTAAACTACGTTGTTCCGTTTGAACAGCAATCGCTTTTTGGGCGACAGATGATGGTTTTTTTCATACAGAAGTCGTTGAGGATCATCACTAACAGCAATCCTTGCCACCATACTTTCAAAGGTTTGCCAGATGTTTGAGCTATCATCTTGGTCAATATCAATTTGAATCAAAGAGCAGAGGATGTTGATCAATTTCGACTCCAGTGGAGTGTTGTACTGTACACTTTATTGTATATGGCGTCGATGAGAGATCTATGATTCAATAGGTCGATTGCATTTTGATCTCCGTTCGCCATCTGCAGTAGTTCATCATCGTCGGCATTCATTTCATCAGTGAAGACGTCGAACTGTATCTGGAGGTTCTCGTGATTGACGAACCGCAGATCATGTCCAACAGGTTCAACCCAATGAATTCCTTTTTGATTTTCATTCTTTCTGCAAGATCGTCGACACCATGTATTATGCAGTTGATGAAAGACATGATGGAGCAGGAGTAATCGGAGACTGAATGATTTTTCAGCTCGTTCATCATAAAATTGAAAAGGTATTGGTTGCTTGAAATTGTCTTGTACGAGTTGACAGCTTCAATGCAGCACTCAAACCCTTTCTCTGACGAGAGGCGCAAGCCCGACAGCAAGTCAAAGATTTGCTTCTTGACGGTCGTGTTGTTGGAATCAAGTGCTTTGATCAATTTTTGACTGTACTCCTTATTATTGGTGATGACTCTGAGACCTATGGATGAGTTCATTACAGTTTTGATGCATGCCACGTACTCGATTAGCACCAGAGCATCAGAAAGTTGCACCTTTTTGCCTGTTATCGTGTTGACACCTTCCAGTAAAATAGCCAATCCTCCCAGCTCTAAAAACTCTTTCATCCACACGCTCTGACGACAGGATTTCAGTTTCTTGTTCAAGGCTACGTACATTTTAAGAGATGGCATTTTCAACATAGATAGGCACGTTTTGGGATCGCAGTTTTCAAAATCAACTTGACTTATTAGTTTCATTATTTTATTTCTGAACAGATTCGATTTTTGAGCGGCAACTTCTCCATGGGTATCTGTTGTTGATTGATTTTGGACGTCTGTGCCAGTAGGTTGAGTTGCCGGCTGCTCAGAAGATACTGGTTGTTGCTCGGGAGAAGCTGGCTGTTGCTCATGAGACGTTGGTTGTTGTTGCTCATGAGACATTGGTTGTTGTTGCTCATGAAACGTTGGTTGTTGTTCCTCATCATTTGCTGGTTGTTTATCTTTCCCGCTGAGGTATTCTATCGCTTTTTCTGAAAATGTTTTGTTTGTTGAAGGTTGTTTTGACAATGTAGTGGCGAAAGATTGAACGGCAGTTTCGTTCAGTTTTGCTTTTGGCTCTTTTGGAGAGAACCATCTCTAAAATATGTTTTTCTGTTTGGACGGTTTGTCCATTACTTTGAATTTTTTGTTTCCTTCCTTTCCGTCATTAGATTATTTTCCAACGTCTTTACTGGTTATCTCGTTCCTCTCACGTTTGCAATCTTCGCCTACGTTGTGATCGTTTTCATTTTTTTCGAGTTTATCAGTTTTAATTTCCGTTTCGGCATTAACGTTTAAACCTATGGCATTTGATGTGTCTAAAACGTCTCTCTTTGAAAGTACTGAACACTTTTTTATTTCTTTTAGCAAGTTTACTACATCTGGTGTTATGATCAAATTTTCGTTCAGGTCCGGCACTACTGCAAACCAAACTGTTACTCTAGTTGCAATATTTATCATCCATTCAGAACCTTCCATTTTAGGTTGCACTTCTAAATTTACTACATCTACAATATTTGCTTTACTTTGAAGTCCCAAAACAGAAATCTTTCCTTGCACAATTACTTTCGACCAATCGATAAACCTTGGATGGATACAAATAATCTCTGCCCCTCCATCGACAAGTGTCTTCGGTATTCTTATTCCATCGACATATATATCAACAAACTCCCTTCAATACAATTTTTCCTTTTCGATATTCGCTGATCTTTCTGTAAACAGAAATTCATCTTCCTTTATTCCTGATTCGTTATATACTGAATTTCTTTGAATCTTTACCGGCTGAGTACAGTTTTTTGCTACATGACCTGGCTTTTGACATCTGGAACATAGTCCCTTCTCCATAGCTTCCTCATTGTTTTTGTTTATAATTCGTTTATCGTTATACTCTTCTTTAAAACCAACATCTAATTCTATTTCTCTGCGATGGGGTTTGGTGCTTTAATATGTTGCTACATAATTATCAGCTGCTCGAGCCAATTTATCACAGTCCAACCAATCCTCTTGTTCTTGACTGAGAATAAAATTTAAACATCCTCTGGGTTTCTTCATTCTATCAGCCATCAATAAACTTAATAATCTATCAAAATTTTCTCCAACATTCCTGCTTTTTAAATAATATATCTATGTGTTTTTCAACTTTGACAAAAGGAGCTGGTATGTTTCATTAGGTAATTTCCTGATGTTAAAAAATTTTTCTCTTAACTTGAATGGGCTCACTCTGAACTCGTTTCCTTCAACGTGTTATAGTTACTAAGTTGTTGAACTGTTAACCGAGATATAAGAGATTTAGCCTTATCATGTAGACACATCTGAAGTAACTTGGCTTTTATATCTTCATCAACACCAAATTGGTCAAATTGGTTTTCTAGATTTTTAAAAATTTGGTAATTCGCTGGGATCCGGCGGCAATTTCTCCATCATATTTTTCATTGAGTTGCTAAATGTTTTAATGCGATTTAAAATTGAATCTCTCTCACTCAATCTCGATCGTTCTTGTTCATTCTGTAGATTATAGCTTTTCTGTCTTATCGCAAGTTCTTCCTACTTTATCTTCATTTGATATTTCAATTTTTTAGCCTTTCTCTCCATCTCCCTTTCTCGTAATTTACATTCTCGTTCGTGTTCTTTATTTTTTCTCTCCATCTCTTTTTCTCGTAAATTTAATTCTTGCTGCTTCAATTTCAACTCGCTGAGAAATTTCCATTTTTCAAATTCGATAGGATTCTGTGGCTTTTCTAAAGTATTTTCCTCTGGATTTTTTTCTTTTTCTAAAGGTTCGTTGGCAATATATCGATCGATTAATTCTTGCCCAGACATCGATTGTGCCTCCGTTTCATCTACTCCGAACTTAATCAACCGTTCAGTCGACACTTTTTTATCTCCACTGGTATATCTTTTTCCATAATAATTCGATATCAAACTCCAACCAGGTGCCGTCTATGTTGATATATAATCTCCGTCGGTAATCGGAATCCACCAATATATCGACAAAAATCCGTCGACGTAAAACTTCAACCAGCAATTACTCCCTGAACTACTTGGTTGTCACTGGATATTCCCCGGTAATAAAAATCGACTGATTAACCACCGAGGCAATATATCCCACTGCTGCCACCAAAATGTCACGGACTTTTTACCCGAGATTATTATATCATATAATGATCACGGAAAGTTCTGTTAATATCCTGTCGACTGCACCAGATGTCAGGTTTTTATATACAAAACCAATAATTCAAGCTACGAGACGGGTTAAATTCAAACTTATTTTGAAATATAAATTCAAAATCAATAAAAGAAACTTATATATGTATATATATATATAATGTCATAAATCAAATGTTAACATCAAATTAATATTATAACTTTCAATTCAAAACATCAGAAACAACTAATTAACCATAATCGTTCAGTTCAATTAAATCTATCTACTCTATCTTATTCCTAAAACATGTCCCAGTCGCCATATTGCTTGCTGTTGTCAAAGTGCCCAGGCATGCCCAAAACAAAAACAAATGCCATAGCGCACAACTTAAAAAAATATTTTTTCACACAAGCAATAACCGTGATAGGCTATCCAGAATGTGATAATCAAGAGAGTTAAAAAAGCTGAACTTTTCCCCGTTTTGGCAGATGAAACTAATGATATTACAAACATTGAGCAAATATCATTTTGCCTGCGTTATGTTGATTCTGATGATTTTAAAAAACCACACTATCAAGGATACGTTTTTTGGATATGTACCAGTTGGCAGTGGATTAGCTACTACAATTCTTGATAAAATTAAAAAATATGGTGGTTTAGAATTTTCTCATGTAGTTGGGCAAGGTTATGATGGAGCTGCATCAATGAGGGGGCATTTGCATGTTGCTCAAGTTTATGTTAGAAAAAAGTGCAATCATGCTTTATATGTTCATTGCAGTGCACATTCTCTTTAACTTGCTAATGGAGATTCCTGCTCACAGTCAGAAATCCGAAACTGTATAGGCAGCGTTCAATCTGTTTGTAATTATTGTATAACCAGCGTGTAAAATGTATGTAAAATTGGAATTCAATAAAAATTTTTTTCCAATTTTTCAAAACCCCCCAAAAAAAGTTTCTGGCTACGCATGTAGAGCTTTTTCGGTTTGGCTATTTTATACCGTCGGTTTGTGATAGATTTTGTCAAAGTAGCAAAACCATTGCACGAACTAACGGAAAAAAATAAAGTATTCAATTGAAATGAAGCGTGCGAGTTGGTTTTCAAACAATTAATGAAAAAATCATGTGGTGCTCTATTGCAGTCGTATCCGTAGCAAGACGTTCATGATGGACACGAACGCAAATAACATCGGTATCGGAGTAGTCCTTTAACATGATGGACACGAACGCAAATAATAACGGTATCGTAGTAGTCCTTTCCCAAAATATCAACTGAAAAAAAAGGTTTTGCCACGCTACAGTAAAAGATACAGTTGTAGGGGATTTGATATATATAGTTATTATAAACATTAAATATTTTTAATTATTAATTAGTTTTATTATTAACTTGTATGTTTGAATTTAATTTATTATTATTACTACTACTATTTCTTTGCTTTACTTTTTCTCTTCCCTTTTTACGTTAGTCCGAGATTGTTACGTTTGTTTGGTTAATAAAATCAAATTATTTCTATTCACTTTAAATTGTCTAATTTATAATCTGACAATAAAACGAAATAATATTAAATCGAACATTCCTCAACAACTGGCTAACCCTGACGTGATTTGAAAAAAGAAAATCCGACGTGAAAAAAAATACGAAGATCCACGTAGTTAGATAAAAACGAAATAATCAATTCAATAAACAAAATGTACAAACGAAACGTCGACGCAATCTCCGTCAAACCACCCGCTTTCGTGGCAACGTCGTCAGAAGGATGGTTCATTATAGCTGAAGCACAATTTAAATTGCGAAAGGTTGTTTCTCCAGAAACAAGATTCTACCACGTTTTGTCCTCCCTGCCGGCAAATGTGATAATAAAATTTTCGTCTCAAGTACTGGTAAAATTATTACGACACACTGAAGACAGCCTTGATGTCGTTGCACGAAAAGACTAAACCAGAACTTTTCGCCTGTTTGTTTGGGGGACAATAATAAAATTACCGGGAGACCATCACACAATCTCCAAGAATTATTAGCAACAGCAAAAAATTAGGTGTTGGAGATGACCTAATACGCCATAAATTTATTTAGGCATTACCAGCAAAAATTTCACCAGTGATCGCAGTTCAGAGGAACCTTGATCTACATCGACTGGGAAGATTAGATGATGAGTTAATGCCATTTGTAAAAAAATGAGGTTTATGCTGTTGAAAAACACATTAAAAACAACAACATGAACGGCAACTAAAACACCCCAATTAGCTTACGTCCATTTTAAAAGATCAACAACAGCAAGTTTGCCGAGGTCACCAACATTTTGGCAAAAAATTCAAAACATGTAAACCTTGGTTTAGATGGCCAAACAAGAGAAATGTGAACATTCAACCATCGTCCCGACCTCAAAAAACAAAAAAATCATCTCCAGAAAACAACATGCTGGCGGAAAACTAACTAGGCGAGCCGAAGTCGCAACATCCGGCTCGTCACTGTTTGAAGTTGTTGCTAGAATAAGTAGTACAAAGTTGAAATTAGTAGTAGACACAGGTGAAGCCGTGATGATCATACCAACAAAATTCTCAGCAGGTTTGTGTTTACAACCAACTGCCGTTCATTTGTCAACTGCACGTGGTCAGAACATTCCTTGCCGTGAAGAAACCATTGTGGAAATTCGCCTTTTATCACTGCACAGAACATACAAGTGGAATGTAGTCGTCGCAGACATCGTCAATCCATTACTTGGCAAAGATTTTTTAAGTCATTATGAAATTCTTGTAGACTGCATCAACTATCGACTAAATGACTCGCTAACCAATAAAACAATTTCAACAAACGTTTTACATGGTTTTATGCAACAGATCAACGAATCACCAGTTTCCCAGATGATTAAAACGCTCATCAACAATTTTTCCACACACTCTGATATAGCCAAGAAATGAGAAACAAATAAAAATTACTTCGAAAATTAAACACGTCATTGACACAGATGACAAACAACATTTGCCAAAGTTCGTCAAGTTTCCGAAGAAAAATACAAGGCAGCAAAAGCAGCTTCGTTGCTAAATGCTGGAATCATTAGACAGTTTCAATTTCCTTGGGATTCTCCACTCCATTTGATTCCAATAAATACTCCTGGACAATGGAGAGCCTGTAGAGATTATCGCTGTTTAAACACCATCACCAAACTGGACAGGTATCCAATTCCTAACATTCATAGTGACTCAGCTAAACTCAACAACAACAAAATATTTTCAAAATTAGATTTACTGAAAACATACCACTAGATACCTGTTTATGAAAATGATGTTGAAAAAACAGCTGTAATAACACCATTCGAGCTTTCTGAATACCTGTTTATGCCATTTAGTTTACGAAAAGCAGGATGCATTTTTCAGAGGTTCATAGATAATATTTTTCTTGGCATCGATTGTGTTTTTGTATACCTAGATGACATACTGATATTTTCTGAGAACACCGAACAACGCAAAATAGATATAAAAAATGTGTTTAAAATTCTCAGTGAAAATATTTTTTTATTATTTTTTTGGCAGCTTAACGGCATTTTCAGCAAAATGCGGCTATTTTTACGCCATTGGATCATTAGAAACTGATTACTTTGTTGTGACATCTAGAGAACTTCAAATTCTGTTGATCAAATCTATCCCCTTTACAAATAAAATCAAGACTTCCTGACTTCTATTCTGAAAGAGCAGTTCCACATTTGATGGAACCTCGAGTATGCTTCTGATCTGATCGTATTTTTCACAATCAGTTAATATATCCTGAATAGATAGTTTTTTGTCGCAGGCTTCACAATAAGGTGGCCTTGTTTTGTGGAGGATTCAGGAAAGTGTGATTGCTGAGTGTCCTATTTTTAATCTATTGATAACAGACTGAAGATGACCTTTTTAACGATTCGTTGACTATTGGGTGTAGAATCTTCATGTAGGATTTTTGTGTAGAGCCATATACTGGAAAACCATAATTCATTACTGTTTGTATAGTTGCTTAGAAAATTGTTATCAGATACTTTCAATCTGCTCTCCATTCATTTTGGAATAACACTTTGATTAAATTGAGTGTTTTTAAGCATTTTCTTTTGTTTCCAAAGTATGTGGAATGAAATTAATTTTGAGTCGAATATTATTCCTAAATATCTGTATTTTTGTGAAAACTCAAGATTATTTCTTTAAAAATTTAACTTCGGAAAAATCCTCTTTTGTTTTTTTTGAGAAAAGCATAGCTCTAGACTTTGATTCAAAAATTTTTATTCCATTTTCCAGTGCCTAATTTTTAATAAGTTTTAGCGTTTTGTTTATTTCATTCTGCATTTTTATCATGTCTTCATTTTTTAACGTGATTGTGACATCATCCATGTAAAGACAGATCATCGTGTTTTTAGGAATATTTTTGGTGATATTGTCTAAGACAGAATAACTTTGGTGACAAAATGCTGCCCTGAGAGATATCCTACTTTGGATGCATCGTTTCTGAAAGGACATTATTGACCTTGACTTTAAATGACCGGTTTGGTAAAAAAACTTTGAATGAATTTGGGAAGACGTTCTCTCAATCCGGATTTATGTATTTTTTTAGGATACCATATTTCCAGGCAGTGTCATAGGCTTTTTCAATGCCCAAGAATAGAGTTATTACTTGTTCAACCTGTTTTAAAGTTTGTCTAATGTAAGTTTCAAGTGATATCAAATGATCTAACGTAGATCTTCCCTTGATACCTCCCCATTGATATTTAGACAAAACTTGATATTATTCGAGAAACCAGTTTAATTTATTACTAACTATTTTCTCTATGATCTTGCAGGCACAAATTGGTTTGTAGTTATTTGGATGAGTTTTGATTTTTTTGATTTGTTTATGGTCACGACTATTGCCTGACGCCAAATGTCTGGGACTTTTGTGCTAATCCATAAGTAATTGTAAACTCTAAGAAGTATTGATTTTTGAAAAAGGCTTTTTAACATCTTGTAGGTAATTTGATCAGGACCGAAATTGATTCATTGCTAATAATTATTTCAAACATCATTTCTCTCGTGGTGATTGGTGTATTATACAATTCTTGTTCTTGTGAATCAAAATCCAAAACGTTGACTTCTTTTCTTGAATTAATATTTGCAAAGTTTTTGTTTTGAATTTTGGAATTTCGATGGAAGTTGCTGGCTAAAATATTTGAGATTTCCTTATAAGAACTGAAGTATTTGTTATTGTAGATAATATTTTTTTTTATACGAGTTTATTTCATGAATCATAAAAATGGATTCCATTAAAGAAAAGAAAATTTTAAATAATATTGAACCCTCATATATATATGGTAAAATCACAAGTACAAAATAAAGGTAAAATAATGTTTAAATGTTTAAAAACAGAGTTTGTCCAAAAAAACATCAAATAAATGAAAAAACATCAAAATGAAAACACCACATAAATGAAAACATCAAAATGAGAACACCAAATAAAAATAAACGTTAAAATGAACACATTAAATAAATGAAAATATAAAAATGTCTACATAAAACAAATGTAAACATTAAAATGAAAACACTAAACAAATGAAAATATGAAAACAATTAAATAAATAAAAACATTAAATGAAACATTAAAAACCGGTGAAAATTAAATGTAAATTAATTGTAAATTATTATGCGATATTATACACCTATCAAAACATATTTAAATTTTGTTCTACAACTAAAAAAGAAATGTAGAACATGAATGGAGGAGATGCAAACCAATTCAAGCTAAATAAAATGAAATAAAACAAAAATAAAAAAATAAATAGAAAAATAAAAGGAATACTGCAAGCTGAAAAATACAAAAGTCATGTAATCCAAGTCCAATCCGGCGAAATATTTAAGATATATGTAAAATTTTAATAAAGCCTAAAACAGATTATAAACTCAAGAGTTTGTTAAATAAAAATAATTAAGATAAGCATTGAAAAAAATTTTTTAACTTATATTTATATTGGCGGTAAACCATACAAGTCCTTATAAATATTGGTAAATTATTCCATTTATGCGCGCCATAAAAACATATTTCTACCTAGTAGTTGGGTTCTAACAACGGAGACTTCAATTCATTAATATTTTCACAATTAAACCTTGATGGTCTAGCCTTAATATCATGTATAATTGTTTCATGTAGGTATTCATCTATTGTTATCTGATGGTTAATAATAAATTTAAAAATAAAACAACAGATATGAAGATTATTAATTTCAAAACTTGATAAAATCAAGTTTATAAAAAAGATTTTTTTATCTAAATATTTTTTAAAATTATAATTTTAAATGCTTTTTTGGGCTTAAATAAAAATTCTAAAATAAGTTTAAAGCGTATTACCCATATCAAAATTTCAATATACAAAATGTGGATAATAAAAGGCGATCAATCAATCAATCTTCGTTAGGCGTCCAGAGACCAGGTTTCCCAAGGTAGGACTTTGTTTTCTTTGCCATCACTTTTGCGCCAAATTGACCGATCAGTTGTATCCATTTCATTAAAATTTAGGGCTTTCCTTGCTCTATTCTTTTGTTTGTGACCATCTCTTCTTTGAAAAGCTTTTGAGACGTGTGCCAGGTACTTCACCATCTGCAAAAAAGTTATGGCACTGTTTCTACTTTGTTTGACATGACCAAACCACCACAGACGGTGTTGCCGGCATTCGTCCTTTATATCATCTAAACCAGCACGACGCAGGATTTCGGTAGATTTTATGTGATCCTTCAGACTAATTCGTTGCATCCATCGGAGCATTTTCATGTCGGTTCGTTGAAGTTGTTGTTCCAGTTTGGTTGTCATTGGCCATGTTTCTGCACCATATAACAACACCGGACGTATCACAGATTTATAAAGTCTTGATCGTAGTGGTAGTGGGATGTCACGCCGCATCAATATAGAGTCAAGGGGATGCCATTTATTCCATGCTGCACGTATGCGTGCTCGAACGGCAGCTTCAGCTGTTCCATTACAATCCAGAACATCCCTTAGATATTGAAACGATGCGACTTTTTCTACCTTGATGGCTTCAAAAACATTGCTATTTCGAATTTGTTGTTGTGGATTGATGCAAGCAGGACAAACAAAATTGGATACTTTAGATAAAGTACCAATTACTTTTGAACAACGTTTATGACACCACTGGTTACACTCCTGACACTTGATTGAATTGTTACCTACACCAGCTTTACAAACTGAACAAGGCCATCGTCCAGTAGCTGCGGATTGGATAGGTTCACCAGTGTTCATTGCTTTAGTTTTGCTGATGTTGACTTTGAATCCATCGGCGAGTTTGGTGTTCCAATCTTCAAACATCTGTGCTGCATTCTGCTCAGATGTGGCTGTTAAAACGATATCATCAGCATATATTAGATTCCAAATGTCACAAGTGCGTGTCGGTTTTGTGATTTCTTCCATCACAGTTATAAATAACAGTGGACTGAGAATCGAGCCTTGGTGAACTCCAACGCCGATGTCAAATGCATCTGTGTTTCCAACCGTTGTGCTGACAAAAGTCTTAGTATTCGTATACAAGACTTTCCCTGCTGACTTTCCATCCTTCATAGTATTCAGAGCTACTGCAAGCTCCTCTAAAGTGATGTCTGGAATTGGATCTTTGATGGGTGGAGCGTCAAAGTTGACATTGATGGGATTTGTTTCATTTAACAGACGGTTGAAGTATTCTCTCCATTGTAGCTTGATCTCATCTTGTTCAAGAACCATCTCGTTTTTGTCGTTTTTGATACATTAGGCACCAACTATGTCTTTTTTCGTACGCTTTGCTTGTTTTGCTAAATAAATCAGTGAAATAATTATTCAAGATATTGGCAATCTCAAGCTGATCTTTGACAATGGAGTTATCTTTTAATAATAATAATAATAATAATGTCATTTTATATAGCGCCGTAGCAAGGCGACTGATTCGCATTATCATTATTATAACAAACACACGGTGCATAAATACACGTGAATCAACGCATCACACACTTTTGCATGTGATAGACGGGGATCTTTTTGCATTCGAACCCGCCCGGCACCTTAGCCATTACACCATCGCGCCGCAAAAAGTAAAATTTTGTCGGTTAACGCTTTTATTCATAAGCGAGTTAATAGTTTTCCATTTTTCCTTACTATTAGTCTCAGGTCTGCCAAAATCATTATTATAGTAATTGTTTTTGATACTTTTATTAAAATGTTAACTTCATTTTTAATTGTGTAATAGTTAATTTTATTTTCATGAATTGCGTAATTTTATATTTTTTATAGAGCCCGTTTTTTTCCTGATGAGTTTTTTAATTTGTGTCGTCATCCACGGTTGAGAGGATGCTTTGAAATTTATTTGTTTTTTAGTTGTAAATAGCCATATTTGACTAAATAATTGATGAAAAATTGTGAGAAATTTTCTGGAAGCCACTTCACAATCATTTTCCAGAAGTACAACACACCAGTCATAAGTGCAACGTTCAGTTTATTCAAATTCTTTGCACATGTGTTGAAAAATGAGATGCCATCCTCACCTCAACGATCGTTTAGCGAGAGAAACGTGACCAAAAATGGAAAGTGATCGGAGATATCAGATACCTCACCATACCACTAAAAAACCAACCAAATTATTAGTGAAAATAACATCAACTATAGTTGAAGTTGATGAGGTTATTCTTGTGGGAACATTCACCGTTGGATATAGAGCGAAAGAGGCCATGAGATTTAACAACTGACTACTGGACGGTGAATCAGTTGGCAAATTAGATATATTAATTTGTTTTCATTGTTAATTTTATTTAGCAAGTTCTCTAATTGTTCGAAGAAGATGCTAACATTAGAAGAGTAAATATTTATAAAAAGCAGGTTTGATTGCTTAAATTAAATAACATTTAATTAAATAACATGATTAAATATCATCGAATATTATATCGTTTATTGATATATAATTTAACGTATTTTTGACAAAAAATGCAACACCTTCACCAATTTTCCGTTTTCTATTTATATTTAAAAATTGTAATTATTATAATTAATCATGCAATCTTTATCATCGTTTAATCATGTTTCAGTCAAACAAATAATATCAAATTGCAAACCGATTTCATCAATTAACATCTGCGATTGATCCATTATGTTATAAATGCTGCGACAATTTAAGCTTAAAACTCTAAAATTATGATTTAGATGTGCTGTGATCAAAGACGCTTTGATTCCGTCTGGATCAAATCGGCTGCATTGGTAGAAAGACTGTCTGAAATTATTGAATAGCTCGCCCTTCATATCACGAAAAATGCTATACATAAAATAATTTACATAAAAATCTAAATGTTGTTTGATATTATTAACAGCCATTTTAATTATTTGTAATGATTTTCATTTATGTCAACCCTTTCAAGCCGATTAGTGATTTCACTCACTAATTCTAAATGAGACGGAACAACATCAGTATTTTGATCTTAAATGATTGCAGAGGATATTTCATTGTTGACTGCCTCTAAGGGTGTTATGCTCACACGTTGTTGTGCCTGTGTGTTAAGTTTTTTTATTGGTGTTGACTACAATTAACGGTGTGGCAATATTATTGGTGTTTGGCTTGAGCAATTGCGCAGTCTTGGGCGACTTATGAAAAATGTTATTATTTTGTGCTTTGGTTCGTGGAACGAAAGGATTATAAATCCAATCTCTAACGATTGTATCTTCTGGCCAAAGCATGGGATCAGTAATTTTGTCGTAGTCGGTTTTTTTAAATGATTTTCAATGATT